AAACCAAAGGTCATAGCATATTTTGGATATTTTAATAGTTGAAATAAAATGAAAGGTTCAAAAGTAATTTGATTGCAAAATTACAGGAAAAAAACTTTATACAGGAAAACAATAAATGAATGCTGACTCATGCTGTTTGTCTTGTTTTATACAGTATAGTATATATCCTTCACGATTCTTTACCTTTTGCCAGACAGCAGCTGGAAATAACAAAATGTTCTTAATATGTCCTGCCTGGTCAAATAAAAGCTAAGTACAACATAAAATACACACAATAATATGACTGTTTGACTGTGAAAACCTGTCACCATGACAGAAACATCTCACGGTTTGTTTACCATTATAAAGAGTTTTCTATTTACTTCAAATTTTGAATGAAAAGAGAACATTTTCCAAAAAGAGACAACAAATCATCTAAAAATTCATCACTTGAATACTGTTGACCCAGACTCAGTCTCTCGCCGCTGCGAGTGACACCTCCGTCTCTTTACAAAGGAATCCACTTTGATGTCACCCCACCTCCCGAAAAGGTCAAAAATAATAAATGTAGGCTAGACTCACAGGCAGGGGGTGCAGCACTGTTTTTTTTTTTTTTTTTTTTTTGGACCAGAGAATCTCTCAAGGCCTGGTGAGTTTTTTACAGTGAGGCTCAGCCAAAGAAGAAATGTCATGAAGTTCTGTTTATTTGAAACGCTTGATCCACATTTGCTGAGGAGCCTTTAAATCACACACAAAAAAGTATGTTTACCCCCTCCAACCAGAGCTCACATGTTTCAGCATTTCTTTTACAAGTCATTCCATGAGAATAATTCAAACTGTCCATCCACTTTCTTCTGCTTATCCGGGGTCGGGTTGCGGGGGTAGCAGCCTAAGCAGAGAGACCCAGACTTCCCTCTCCCCAGCCACTTGGGCCAGCTCATCCGGGGTAATCCCAAGGTGTTCCAGCTGAGAAACAAAGCCCCTCCTGCATGTCCTGGGTCTTCCTCTGGGCCTCCTCCCAGTGGGACATGCCCGGAACACCTCACCAGAGAGGCGTCCAGGAGGCATCCTAACCAGATGAACAATCTCAACTGGCTCCTCTCAACGTGGAGGAGCAGCAGCTCTACTCTGAGTCCCTCCTGGATGACTGAGCTTCTTACCCTATCACTAAGGGAGAGCCCAGATTACCTGCGAAGGAAACTCATTTCGGCCACTTGTATCTGTGATCTTGTTCTTTCGGTCACTACCTAAAGCTCGTGACCATAGATGATGGTAGGAACGTAGACCAACTAGTAAATCGAGAGCTTCGCTTTCTGGCTCAGCCCTCGCTTCACCAGGACAGACCGGTACAGCACCAGCATCACTGCAGACGCAGCACCAATCCGCCTGTCGATCTCCAACCTCCATTCTTCCCTCATTCATGAACAAGACCCCGACATACTTAAACTCCTCCCCTTGGGAAAAGACCTCCTCCCCGACTCGGAAGAGGCAACCTACCATTTTCCGGCTCAAGACCATGGTCTCAGATTTGGAGGCACTGATCCTCATCCCGTCCGCTTCACACTTGGCTGCAAACCACTCCAGTGAGAGCTGGAGATCACAATCTGATGAAGTCAATAGGACCACATCATCCACAAAAAGCAGAGATGTGATCCTAAGGTCACCAAAACAGATCTCCTCAGCACCTTGGCTGCGCCTAGAAATTCTGTCCATAAAAGTTATAAACAGAATCGGTGACAAAGGGCAACCTCGGCGGAGTCCAACTCTCACCAGAAACAAGTCCGACTTACTACCGGCAATGTGGACCAAGCTTTGGCACCGGTTGTACTGTTCCCCTGGAACTGCCCCGATGTCCACGCAATATTGTAGAGTTGCATCAACCAACACAACCCCACAACATCCAGAGCCGAAAGGAACTCCGGGCGAATATCATCCACCCCCGGTGCCCTGCCACCGAGGAGCTTTTTAACCACCTCGGTGACCTCAGTGCCAGAGATTGGAGAGTCCGACCCAGGGTTCCCAGGCTCTGCTTCCTCATGGGAAGATCTGTCGGTAGGATTGAGGAGGTCTTCGTTGTCTTCTACCCACCGATCCACAACATCCCGAGTTGAGGTCATCAGCACACCAGCCCCACCATAAATAGTGTTGGTGGTGAACCACTTTCCCTCCCTGAGATGCTGGATGGTGGATCAGAATTGCCTCAAAGCCGTACAGAAGTCTTTTTCCATGCCTCTCCGAACTCCTCCCACACCTGAGTTTTTGCCTCGACAACCACCTGAGCTGCAATCTGCTTGGACTGCCGATACCTATCAGCTGCTTCCAGAGTCCCACAGGTCAAAAAGACCAGATAGGACTCCTCCTTCATCCTGACAGCATCCCTCACTGCCGGTGTCCACCAGCGGGTTCGAGGGTTGCCGTCACGACAGGCACCGACAACCATATGGCCACAGCTCAGATAAGCCACCTCAACAATGGAGGCACGGAACATGGCCCGCTCAGATTCAATGTCCCCCACCTCCCCCGGAATGAGTTCGAAGTTCCCCCGGAGGTGTGAGTTGAAGCTCCATCTTATGGGGACTCTGACAGACGTTCCCAGCAGACCCTCACAATGCGTTTGGGTCTGCCAGGTCTGACTGACATCCTCCCCCACCAACGGAGCAACTCACCACCAGGTGGTGGTCAGTTGACAGCTCTGCCCCTCTCTTCACCCAAGTGTCCAAAACATGTGGCCGCAGATCAGATGAAACGACAACAAAGTCAATCATCGAGCTGTGGCCCATGGTGCCAAGAGCACATACGGACACCCTTATGCTTGAACATGGTGTTCGTTGTGGACAATCCATGACGAGCACAGAAGTCCAATAACAAAACACTGCTTGGGTTCAAATTGGGAGGGGGGGGGGTCCATCCCAACCACACCTCTCCAGGTCTCACTGTCATTGCCCATGTGAGCATCTCCAGCACAACTTCCAAGGACTCCAAAAAGGGTGGGTAATCTGAACTGCTGTTAGGCGCATAGGCACAAACAACAGTCAGGACCCCCCCCCCCCACCCCCACCTCCACACACACACACACACGTAGGTGGAGGTAGGCTACCCTCGTTCACTGGAGTGAAACCCAGTATACAGGCACCAAGGTGAGGGGCAATAAGTATGCTCAATCCAGCTCTGCTCCTCTCAGCATGAGCAAATCCAGTGTGGAAGAGTGTCCAACCCCTCTCGAGGAGACAGGTTCCAGAGCCAGAGCGGTGCGTCAAGGTGAGTCTGACTATATCTAGAACCTCTCAACCTCACACACCAGCTCAGGCTCCTTCCCCACCAGAAAGGTGACATTCCACATCCCTGGAGCCAGCTTCTGTAGCCAAGGATCGGACCACCAGGGTCCTCACCTTCTACCACTGCCCATCACACACTGCACCAGACCCCTTTGGCCCCAAATAAAAAACTTAAAACTGACCTTTCTATTTTATACCCCTTGTCTGTAAAAAGGGGGCATCCAGACTCTGAACACCAGTCAAACATGCTGAGTGCAATTTAATATTGGTTTCATAGGCTACTGCTGTTGTCTATGTATTTATTTTTTGTTGTACAGACTTGTGCAATGGCAATAATTACTTTTATTTGTTCTAATCTACTCTATAAATTGCAAAAAACATCAAGTGAACAGAAAAAAAATGCAGTAGGTTTGTTTTTACCAAATAACCTCTGACCCCTATCCAAAATGCTGTGTGCCCAGAAAACTACTAAATGCAATAGGACAGAGGAGCCCAAAGTGGGGCCTGTGGGCCAAAACTGGCCCACCAAGCCATTTGATTTGGCCCACCAGCAGTTGTCCTGATTACTAGATTGTAACTATGTTAAAATTAAATATAAAATACAAGTGAAAAAAGACATTTAGTTTAGATTTAAGCCCAAATCTAGATTTGCACACCTTATAAGACCCCATATACTCAGACTTTAAATTATGAAAAGTCCCATGAATGTTTGCTGCCTGCATGAGCATACGTTAAATTTTCCTCGTTGTGCATGGGCTGTAAAAATACTAAAGAATGTGGGCAACCACACTGGCTGCTAGCTTAATCATAAAAAATAAAACAACTTTACGTAAGTATTTGCATTTCTTATATTATTTGCATTTGGCTCGCGGCCATCAGGTTGATTTTAATTTTGGCCCTCTCAGGGAAAATGTTTGGGCACCCCTGCTGTAGGAGGACAGCTTAGTATGGAAACAAACTTTTTAAGAATGACAAAAAGAAAGCTATGGAAGCCCATTTCCGCCACCCTGATAAAAAATAAAACTTAGTATCTCATAATTATGAGATAGCTAAGTCAAAATTTACTATCTCATAATTATGAGATGGTATCTCATAATTATGAGATACTATCTCATAATTATGAGATTGCTAAGTCATAATAATGAGATAGCTAAGTCATAATTATTAGATAGTAGCTCATAATTATGAGATAGTATCTATGAGATAGCTCAGTCATAATTATGAGATACTATCTCATAATTGTGAGATGGCTAAGTCATAATTATGAGATACTATCTCATAATTATGAGATAGCTAAGTCATAATTATGAGATACTATCTCATAATTATGAGATGGCTAAGTCATAATTATGAGATACTGTCTCATAATTATGAGATGGCTAAGTCATAATTATGAGATACTATCTCATAATTATGAGACACTATCTCATAATTATGAGATGGCTAAGTCATAAGGCTAAGTCTATGAGATGGCTAAGTCATACGGCTAAGTCTATGAGATGGCTAAGTCATAATTATGAGATACTATCTCATAATTATGACTTAGCCTTATGACTTAGCCATCTCATAATTATGAGATAGTGTCTCATAATTATGAGATAGTATCTCATAATTATGACTTAGCCTTATGACTTAGCCATCTCATAATTATGAGATAGTTCATAATAGAGATAGCTCAGTCATAATTATGAGATACTATCTCATAATCATGAGATACAAGTTTTATTTTTTATCAGGGTGGCGGAAATGGGCTTCCATACGCAGTAGCCCTTATCCTTTTTCGTCTTTTAGGCATTGGGTCACCCACATTTTGTTTTGTTGAGTTTTGATGAAACTCCGTGTAATCCCGCGCAGAGACGCATCCGAGCTGCTGGGACGCATGCGCAGTCCTGTCCTTAGGTTCGAAGGCGACCGGCGCATTCACACCGAGAGTCCGGGATCTGCAGCATCCGCGGCGTCCGATCCCCTCCACAGGCGTCCTGAACACACACCCACTGTAAGTTTCATTTTATTTAACTGTATTAACTGTCTGCCTGTTTGTGCAGCGGCCGGTGTGTTTAACAGTCAGGCTGAAGGAGCTGACACCACTGCGGGTTTAAGTTACAGGATGTGGGCTCGATCTGATGCAGCTGAATGTGTTCTGCTCCAATTTAAACCTGGAGCGCATCTCGTTTCTGTCACAGGTCCAGCTCCGTGTTATATAACAAGCTGCATAAATCACCACCTTCCACTGATTTACTATGAAAACTGAACACAATCATGGTGTAATAACTTTAGTTTAGGGGGACACAAAGCTTAAAAATGGGGTTTTATCGGGCATTTTTTCCTGTCTCTGCTCTGATTCTTGCAGCAGCTTCAATGCAGCAAGTTGAGCTCTCTGCATGAGCAGCAGACCCTGAAGAACTTGTCAGAAGGTGGTCTGCTCACAGCTGTATTGACAGCTGTTTCGCATGCATTAAACTATAAAATGCAGGCTTATGAAACAGCACATGGCTGACTAACAGGATGTCATCATGGCTGAGCTTGTTTCCTGCAGAGTGTGGGAACACTGAGTGTTTGACAGCAGCTCATTTGTTCCTCACAGATCCAGGATGATTCATCAGAGCCATGTTTCACTCCAACAGTGTTGGTCAGCACAGAAACACGCCCACTCATCAGGAGCTGTCCAGCTGTAGCCTATACTGATGACTTCTTCATAATTTATCCAGAAATGTTCAGCTCTTTATTTTGGCTTCTTCAACCAGAATGTTTGAGTTAAAATCTTCAAAATATTTCACAATGATGCATCCCCCTTCCTTTTTTTCTATCACCTAATTTATTCACTGTTTGTGTGTAAAAAAACACATTTCCCATGCTCCTGGGATTTCTCCACGAAAAACTGTCTCATTGTGTATCATGGTTGTGAGTCACTGGCGTCAGTGGACCGGGTCCTTTAAAAACGGGGGCCGGAGGTGTTGGGTTGCAGCGTGCGAATGAGATAAGCAGCTTCTCACTTTTTCTCTCCATGGTTTGATGATCATTTAATGGAGGAGGAGAAACTGAATCACTATAAGAAGCATTTACCGTAGTTCATTTAAAGTGTTGGATTTTAAACAGTAAAGTGATGTGAAATGACTCACACAGTAGTTATGAAACATGTTTACTCTAAACATTTGTACAATAAACAGAACAATTATGTCTCCAGGCCGAATAATTATCAAAACACCACCGAAATATGAAGAAAACAGTTCCTGAATGGCTTCTAATAAAAATAATGTACAGTGGTTTGCAAAAGTATTCATACCCCTTGAACTTTTCCATATTTTGTCACATTACAACCACAAACATAAATATATTTCACTGGAA